CGGGGGAACCAATTTTCAGAGTCCTCTCTTGAGGTCAACTTTTCACCATTAAGCGCATTCGCTATGTACAGTAAAATATGGTAATCACTTGGTGCCAGGTCCGGGCTATAAGGTGGGTGCATTAAGACCTCCCTCCTCGACCTTCTGGCGCGTCACCAAAGACTTGTGTGGCCTGGCGTTGTCCTGATGGAACACAATTCGGCCTCTGTTGATCAAAGATGGCCTCTTCTGGTTGAATGCTGCCTTCAAGCGGTCCAGTTGTTGGCATTAGAGGGCCGAATTGAGCGTTTGGTCATAGGGGAGCAGCTCGTATTAAATGATTCCTTGCCAATCCCACCAAACACACAGCAAAACCTGGCGCATCTTTGACATCGAAATTACCGGAACGGAACCTAGCAAACCACTTTTGTGCTACACGTTCGTTTACAGTATCGGGTCTATAAACTAAATTAATTTTTTCAGCCGCTTTAGCTGCTTTTTTGATCGAAGAAAAATTGTAAAACATAGCGTTCTCTTATCTGGTGTCCATCTTTGACGGGCGCTCAAAACGTACTGTGTCAATTAATCGAAAAACAGTCACAGACAAATTTTTGCCGCGAATAAACACGATTTCAGCGCCGCATAGTATGACATGATGCGACACGTAACATTAGTACTATGGGCAATAACCCCATCTTTTAGATAAAAACCGAACGAACTTTTTACTACACCTAATATATTGGATGAGTGCATAAGTTCGTGCCCGATTTCAAGTGCAAACTAAAATAGAAATTTTATAAAGAAAGCGCTTTTATTAATAAATTATGTATTCCCCATCATGTTCGGCAATCCACTCCCAACGTTCAACCAATTTACGGATGCCTGATTCATAGAAATCGCGCGGTTTCTCGTTGAAAAAGGTGTCAAGATTGTTTTTGACGTCTTCCCCATTTTTAAATTTTTTTCCATTCAAATTGTTCTGCAGCGATCGAAACAAATGATAATCAGAAGGTGAGTTATTCGCAACTAAAGTCCTTAGAACATCGTCATCAGGCTCATAAGGCCGTCCACTGCGAGGTTGATCTTCGAGGTTAAAATCTCCAGAACGAAATTTCGCGAACCATTTCTTTACTGTGCTGAGTGCTGGAGCATGGTCCAAATAAACTTCGCGAATATTTTTGGTTGCAGCGCCTACTATTTTTCCTTTGCGGAATTCGTATAACATAATATGATGCATATGATCTTTTTCGTTGCCCATCTTCCATGCGTCTTTTCGTTAAGCAACTCAAATGAAAATGAAGTTATTTTATGCTTGTTTTACAGTTCGGACTGTCACCTTTCCAACGATATATAATATGTATATATTTCTTTCACGAGCGCCACTCTCAAACGATTCCAATGGCATCCATCGGAATCGGGCACGAACTTATGCACTCATCCAATATTAAATCGAAAACAGTATTTTTTTGTCATTTCGAGGCGCAGAAACTTTTCAACCAACCTGTAATATCGTAGAAAAAGATGCGGAATTTCAAAACCTTATTTGTAATATCATTAAAAACGCTTAAGTGGAAATCAATCAGAGCAGCATTAAATTCAGTTTAATTTGTATTATTTATTTTTAACGCTTGAATCTGTTTAGAAGCTGCTAGAAACACAGGCATATTGTTATATAATCAAATTTAACAAGAATTGCACTTATGCATACTGACATACTGGCCAAGATTAGGGAATTATTGATTAAATTTAAATGACAGATGTAAGACTTGTCAATGATTTGTAAGTAATTATTTTGTAGTTCATTATCATTTTTAATTAATTATTTTTGATTATAAATAGAAATTGGATTTTTCTAATACCGTGTGATAAGGCTTTATTTCACTTATTATTATTTTAGTAATAAATTTTACAATGTTGATAATTCCCGAGCAAAATGTTCTCCATCGCTGTAACCAGCTGAACTATATATTAGCTTAGCTATGGTGTCTGCTTAGGCTGGGAACAGTCATAAATTTTCAATAATCAACTAGATTTCTGACATTCCGTATCGATGGTCAAACTTCTTTGTGTGAAATAAGAAAAAACAGTATTTGAGAGGCACTTGTTTTATACAATTATATAATTAATTGGCGCTTTGTAACCGCTGAAGCGAGCTCCTCCTCCAATTTGTGGTTTCGCAAATGCAGGGACCCACATTTATACTAACCCATCTCCGAACGGCTGATGGTTTTTTTTAAGAGGAGCTTTATTTCATAACCGAAATAACTACGGAGGGGTTGACATTCCCAGCCGAGGCGCAACTGCAATTAGAAAATTTAACTTAATTTTTTATTTAAATTAATTTTCTATAATTTTTGAATGTTGATGGAACCGGGATATGAACACGAGTCTTCCGAATGTCAATACGCAATGCCAACCACTCGGCCACCGCGGCCGCTAACTTGTTTTTAGGTTAGGTTAAATAAGGTGAATCTGAGGGTCTCACTCAGATGATATTACGTTCACAATGTTGCCAGATACGCCACATACCACCAAGCACCTCTGCTCTTTATTGTGTCTATAGTTTAAAGAACAATGCAGTTCTTTTCACAAGTTGAAGTAGTCATTTTATCCCCATGTCCCTCTTGATTGTAGGTGCTTCAGCTTTTCTACACAAAAGTTGGCATAGCCTTCGTCTGCCAAATACTAGATACTCAAATATTACGTGCTCCATATTACACATTCCCTACACATCCTGCCCTATTTTGACCTCTATCGGGGCTAGACTGAAGACGCGTTACCGGCCATACAACCCGACTTTAATAATTCTTCCACCAGCCTAAAATCCGTGCTCTTTATCGCGAGTAAGTTTAGCTTTGTAAGGGTAGCATAATAAGTGCAGCGTTTAGCTCGTTCCAAAGTCTATGTTTATTCGCTTGACGAAGCAAGATTACATTTCGCGCCTGCTTCTCTTCCCTGAATTGAACTGGTAGGCCCATTAATACGCACTGTTATATTGTAAATGGACTCTCACCTCAGCCGCTACGTCAGTTATCAAATTTCCTTCGATGCCCATATGACCTGGCAGCCTGGATATGTAAACCCTAATATTTTCAGACTGTATTTTTATCGCCTCCTTACATAGTGCGACCACAGCCGACTACCTGCTGTGTGATATTAAGGCCTTAAATTCCGCTTGGCTATCCACATAAATGTCTATTCTTTTCTTTTGACAGCAGCTCTTCCGGAATTTTTGTACCAATTATTTCGGCTTGGAAGAGACTGCAATGATTTGGCAGTTTGAATGACTTTCTCATTTCCAGTTGGGAGCCGTAAACCGATTCCCCAGTCCTCACTGTTTCATACTTTTTGAAATCATTTAAAAAAAATGTGAAGAGCTTCATCTGCTTATCACAGGCATATGCAGCAGACGTTCGTCTCTACTGTGGGCAGTCAACTGTTACCTTTGGGGATAAGACTATAATACTATTTAGCCCGTATATCCTGATTTTCTGCTATCTGGAAGCGTGTAACCTCGCGGCATTTGCTGATGTAATGATCGAAATCGCATGTAGCACTTCAAAAAGGTAATGCGACAATTATTGAATGGATTTGAATACTTTTTTTTAATAATTTAAAATGAAATTAAAAGATTGTAACTAAATTCGTATGGAATGGTGAAGATTGAGGGCACATGAGATTCAAAGTTTGAGAGCCACTTGTGCTCTTAAGTATTTATTTTATTTATTTTATATATTTAATTATTAGTAAAAAAAGAAATAATGTGAGAAAGAGCGACGAACAGAATATGAAATAAATTTAAACAATTAATAAATGGCCAGTCCAAGTTAAATTTGGACTTTAAATGCATCTACGAGGGGGTTCAGTCAGTTGATGACTTTTAATTTGCTTTTGTTAAATCCAAAAATCCCAAATCCTTTGCAATTGCTTTATTAGTCTTCCTTTCAAATTTAACAACGCTTGTACCGTCTTTAGAGACCATTGCTAAGTGGCTACGAAGATTCTGTACCGGATATAAGATCGACCAAAATCTTCCACCGATTACGTTACTGTAGCTCTGAAGTCCAATGAATGACACAAGAAATGAATGGGGCCTTAATACCATGGCTGTAACGCGAATATTAAGTAATTATCTGTGATACACGAAGAAATCTGCTCGATGGGTACCACGATTTTTAAATGAGGCTTGAGGACATTTTGCTCAATTTCTCCTAGCCAAATTCGAAAAAGGTTAGTCTGGCAACTTTAGCAAAGTCGTTACTGGTGACAAATCTTGGTTCTATAAGTACGATCCAGAAACCAAACAGCAGTCGATGATATGGAGCCCAACAGAACGAACCCATCCGTAAAATCTAAGCAACAAAAACCAGCAGCAAAAGTATTAATGTCCGTTTACTTCACCCGATCGAAAATCGTAGCTGCTATTGCACTGGCCAAGTGGTTAGACGATAACTGCAAAATGTTACACCGAAGAGTGCTTACCAAAAGTTTTCAAAAACTTGCTCGAAAACAGGAAGAAAGATTATTTTCGGTATTTCTTTATACATCACGACAATGCTCCATCCCACACTGCTGAAATAACAAGTAATTTTATGGCGATCTCTGGGAACGAAGAAATACGTCCAGCAGTATATCTTCCGAGTATATAGCACCGTGTTATGCCCGGTTGTTTCCAAAAATTAAAAAAAGAGTGGCTTTACCCCTTAATGCTATAGGGTTTCAAAAATTTTCAAGCGGTAAGGCATACCTGTCTTTATATGTGACTTAAGTCCAAAAGTTCACGTAACACTCAGGTCTTTATACTGGAACAAATCGAATTTTTAACCGGCCAAGGATTGTCACTCCCGCTACGACAACAACAACAGCACTTTTATTAAACCAATATAAATGATAAGAAGAATTAGAAAAATATGTAAAAATTAAATAAGAATTAAATTGTAAATAAATTGAGGTGGATATTGTAATTTTTTATTTATTCTTTGTGTGCATAAGTAAATGCCGTTATGTATATTTAATACAATTTCATGTGTGCTTCTGTATGTATACATGTATATTTATTTAAATATTTTTATATTTTTATTTATTTAAATACTTCAGTTAATTCATTCAAGTTGACTGGAATCATGCACCTGATCATCGGTGTAACAATGTAAATGATTGAACACCTCCTCAGTAACGCCATTTCGAATAATTGGTTGTTGAGAGAAGCTTATTGTGTTGCTCTGAAAATAAAGAGAAGTTTGGAAAAATTAATAAAAAAAAATATATATATATATATTTAAATCGATCGGGATCTTCAACCCCCAAAAAGCAAATTCTGTTATTGTTTTTTTATATTCATTTTTCAATATTTTTTTTTACTTCACCTTGACTCTCTTGGACTCTAATATGTCAACTTATTTGCTATTAAAGTTTCAAACTAATTAAAGAAAATAATTATTTTGCTGGGAATCCCTCTAGAGCAACATACATCATTTCAAAAGTGGGAAGCACCTTCAAATTATTTTCGAGTTTAAATATATATATGTATTTAAAAAAAATTAATGAAAATATAGTCCAGTAACCAAAAATTTGGTATTACATGATATTTTCTTTCGTTGGTGGCCTTGGAGCACAGTTATTCATTACCTGGAGGTATCTGTGAGCTCTCTCTACCAAAGATTATGGTACTGCTTTCCTTCTCCTTTAAGGTTTTGTAAAAGCTAGAGCCATTCTAAAATCTCCATGCAGTCCATAAACCGCGACAGTAACTCGTTCGGCTTTTTGTTCTTCTTATATGTATGTAAGTATATATTATATAACTGCTGAAGCGTTTTTCGGCCGATCTCCTCCCCAAATTGTGGTTTCGCGATTTGATGTTTCTCCAACATTTGGAGAGACGGTGGTTTCTTATGAGGAGCCTTTATTTTATGTCAGAATGTCAAACCGATGTTCCTCCGATCTTATCGGCTCGGCTTGACATTCCCTGACGAGGGGCGAGCGTATTTAGAAAAACTAATTTCCTATAATTGTGGGTGATGATCGCACCAGAACTCTAACTCTGACCTTCAGTATGGCAGTACGCAATGCTAACCACTCGACTTTTGGGGATTCCTTGTATACCTGTATATAATCTAGTTTATGGCGAACTCAGTCCCTTTAACACGATCATCATTAGACCTTAGAAGTGAGCTAATCTGGTATACATTCTGGCAACTCGCAGACCTTCAAAGATGACGACAAGAGACAAGAAGTGCCCATCTGCCACCAGCTTTTCCATCACTTCGTTCCTTAATATGTTGCTTTATTTCGAAAACCACAACAATTTGAGAGTACACCGTCAAATCGCAAGATCAGGAATTTAAAATGCTTAGGTAGAATCCCTTAAACCTATTTTTATTGGCATGGGTGGAATGAATGGCCTAGCATCACTTGCACTGAGAAACATCGGTAACCCTCAGAGGAAGTAAAAACTGCAGAGGATCTTCGCATACGGCTCATAAGAATCTGAGAGTTCTTGATAGAAAGCCTTCAGCACGACAGTGAGCGCTTCTTGGGTAATGGAAAAACAGCCTTTCTCTGCAGCGCGATAAGAGTTAGCAAATGAGATTGCAAGAGCACTATGACCCATACATCTTCCTTATCTTGCTAATGGCAAAAGCATGTTGATAGAAAATAATTTGAGTCTTCTGATTGCAAACCACAATGAACACATTCACACACCTGACTTCTTCTACAAGGGAATACCCTCAAGAAGCTGATAAAGCATTTCAAATGAGATGTGAATCCCAAACAACGAAATACGATTTTTTTCTGTGTAGGGCTGCGATAATTGTTCGCTACCAGCCTAGCCGCACACACACACATCGACCAACCAAAAACTGCACTTACCTTGAAAATAACATCAGAAGTATTTCTGAAATCCGCAAAGAAATTGAATTCTTCATTTTCCGGACCCAATTGCCCTATCAAAGTGTCGAAAGTCTTCTGAACGAGACATCTAAAGCCGGCATCATCAGCCGTAGAAGTCGCAGCAAACAGTGCATATTCCAAGTCCGCGTCCATATTGCACGTGCTGTAATCATCCCATTCGGCCACTGTACGATTCGCACAAATCAAAATCTCATCTTCGGTGGCGTTGTAGTTTGCAGTATTAACGATCTTTATGGCATCATTTGCCGCAGCATATTGACGGCAGATATCGTGACCACGCTGGAGATTGAAGTAGGCAGCCGCATGGAATGCTTCATAATCCGACGAATCCACCTCTCTAAGGCAAAGTAACGTGTTTACCATTTATAAAAAAAAAACCGTTAAGGATCAAATGTACTTACATGGTCGCCTCATCCAGTTCCAGGAGCGTGATATTTCTAGGTGCCACGGCTACATAGTAATCACTCAAAAGCTCGTGCGCGAACAACACAGGGGTAAGATTGGCCGCACGTGCCGCCTGATATTGATGATCGTCGGCGACCACCAAATGAGCTGTACCCGATTGAACCGCACTTAGACAGGCATCGTAGGAGTCAGCTTGTACGCATTGCAACTTCAAATCAATGGAGCTGTTGGCGGCCGCTTGCACAGCGTAAAGACATTTGTCATATGCCAACTGCGTATAAGTGCAAAGTGTCAAGTTGGTCAATGTTGGCTGTGGTTGTGGTGTTGGTTGAGGTTGTGGTGTTGGTTGAGGTTGTGGTGTTGGTTGAGGTTGAGGCTGTGGTCGTGGGAATGGGAACGGGAACGGGAATGGTCGTGGTCCTGGTTCTGGAGGCCTAGAAAATGCTGGCGGTCGTGGAAAACCTGGTGGTCTAAAAAATTCCGGCCGACCATTGAAACCGAAAGGACCAACTTGCGTTGGCGGTGGACCGAATCGATTTGGACCACCCGGTCCAAATTGAGCTTCTGCCACAACAATTAACAAAAGTCCGACTGTAGCGATTAGTAATTTTAGCATTTTAAATTAATTTTACAAAATCCACCGGCATATGGTTTATTTATACTTTCGCTGTGGTGTAATGTTACAAAAGTAGTAATTACTTTTTAATTACTTTGCATAGTTTCTTATCTCGGACGAAAATTCTATTGCCATATAAACACAACTTCACAGTGAAAACTGCGTAAAAAGCTTTGTTCTTTAAACAATCTCTAATTGGTAGGAACAACTTATGGCTAAAGTTCGCTTCAAGGTCTTTATTTTAAAAACAAAGCGGAGTTTAGTCAAGCGAGGGAAAATTTGAATAAATTCGAAGCTTAGTTAGGAATAAATTACCACAATCTAACCGCCGTTGTTGCTGTATAAGATATTCGCTTGCTCCTCATCTCAATTTCTACCAGAAAAAAGAAATTTAATCAGCCATTGAGTATATAAATATGCATTTGTGAATTCAAATTTAAAGCTATTCGGATTAGCTTATATTCTAAACTTGGTCTTTCCTTCCAACATTTCGAAATATTCTAACAAAAACCCCTCGACGAGTGTTAATCGAATCTCTTAATGATGAGAAAATTATTATAATAAGCGACTTGAGGAGGATTAAAATATTCCTCTTCCCTACGCACAAAATAATTTAATATAAAATACAAAATTATCTGAATCTGCTCAAAACCCCAGATCATAAGGGACTCTTAAAAGTAGTCGCTGCTGTAGAACCATTTTCTCCTGACAAAAGCATAAAAAAAAATGTGAATACATTCACTCAAATTGAGACTGAAATGGAAACGGAAATTTCATGAAATGTTGGCTGGGTTGTTACTCCTTTTGAAAATATTTAACTTTTAACGAAAAAAAGCTCTTCGAGCTTTCAATACATCCTCTGCACAAGCACACAGCCGAGACTCAAACCAAATTATGCCAGCATAGTTGCAAATTAAGGCATCAAATGAAATTTAATAATTCTGTTGCACCTTTATCAGTCTTTATTCCTTTTTTGTGGAGCAAATTTAAACCAATTGAGATTAAATACATACTTCTCTTACAAAAATGGACCACCTTACCATTGTAACTAATGCTAAGTAAACTAATAAAAAAACGTTCCATAAGAAAAAAAAAGAGAACAATTTATTTTTTAATAAGCCCCATCTACTGTTAAAAGCAGAAATGATTTTTAAATTTATAACTGTAGTTAACAGTAATTGGCACAATCTTTGTTTTCGTAATTCTTATCTCCAAACCCATGAATTTTGACAGTTCGAAAGAATTTTCTGCTTTGTCCCAATAGATCTTTTCGATTCGACAGCTGAATACGAGCAATCAGTGAGGTAAGTCAGACAGCGACCAACACAGCATCAGTTACAGGTACAAAGTGAACTAGTTGGCGACAACACTAGTGTAAAGTGAAAATGGCAGAGTGTGAATTTTGTAAAGTCGCTGTGTATAATAAAGTGAATTACTATTTATTGAGTGGTAAATTAACGTTATTTAAGTACTTTACAAGTTTGGTCAACTTTCATTTAACAATTTAACCCTAATCATCGACGCCTATTTAGCCAAAATTGTTACAGTATATTTCTAATTGACGAGAGAACGCTGCTCAAGGGCTCTTTTAGTTTTTTTTTAAATACAATTTCAGAAAATAAGGACCAAAGTAGCATATTCCGGGAAAAACAATGTAAATGGAAAAGACTTAAATGTAAGTTAACGAGCTGTTTTTTTCAAATAAAGGAGGAATTGTCAATGTAAGTACAGGATCTGCTTAATCCCAAATGTTTACTTGTGTACTTAGAAATGTGAGCAAAGTCAAAGAACGTATATTATTAAGAATATATATAATATACACGTTCTGTGCGTCTGTTTATTAAAAAAAAAAAGTTTTTCAAGCCTTTAAAAATGTATTTAATACTTTAAATACTAAAAACTCATATATATTTTTTATATCAATTAAAATAAAAGTCTACTAAATATTTATTTAAAATAGACAATCCTAATTCTCTCTTGAAAGTTCCAAAAATAGCAACCCTGTCATTAATACTAAAATACAATACATTAAAACGGAGTTTTTTTATTGTCTCTCAAAAATCAAAAAAGAAAAACGTGTGGTTGGTTCAATAAGAAAGCAAGGAGAAATTTCAATTGAAAGAACATTAAAACCACAACAGAAAGAGCAAAACATACTGTTTGTACATATACATATAAGGGGAAATGCTACACAATCCCTTTACCGGTTCAACAATTTCTATGAATGGAGCAGCCAGAGAACGTAAATACAGTCTGGGAGCAGAGAACAGAATTTATATTTTAATCCCAGTGACAAAGAGTAATGCATATGCCATTTTGCCTAGATATGGTAGAATTTTCTTAGCTTTAAAATAAAGATTTGCTGTAATCACGTATTATATCCATATGGGCTTATAAACATACATATATAGATACATAACATAATTATTGAGGGCATCGGCTTTTGCTAAAACTGTTCAAAAAGGTGTATTTGGTGATTGCCTTTCGATGCATGGACTTATACACTTATCCACAGAAACAAGCAACTATGCGTATATGTACATATATGCATATGCGTATTTATATATATTATATATGTTCATATGAAAAGGATATGTCTGAATGTTGCGCTGGTTTGCATGAATGATGAGTTAGAAAATTAAATCTTATCGTTAACCAAAACACAAATCTTGCCAGAAATATGTAGTATGTACATATGTATATACGTTTATAACACAGCTGATGCAATATAAACAAATTTGTGGACATTGATGCTACGTGCGGAAAGGCACTCAACAAATTGTACCATACTTAAATATGCGACTTCTTATATATCTGATATGTATGGTATAATATTTCATCAAGAACTTTTTCACTCGCTAACAACCGTTATGTAGAAATAATTCAAAGAAATAATATGGCTTTGAAAGTTAATTCCATATCGTAGAATCGAAACAAGGCATATAGAGTTTTAGAATGAAAAGAGTGCTGCCATTTGGTTAGTGTAAATTCTTATTGGAATTGATTGTTCAACAATTTAGATTTTTGATTTGAAATGAAAATAAAGTTTTACAACGTCTATTTTTGAACTGAATTTTTGTTTTCGCTTTATTTAAGGCATAAATAACTAAACTTTCTTTTTGAAGTTCTATGCAGGAAAATATAAAACATAATTATTTATTCCATATTAACAATTCGAAAAATTTATTCCATTGAGAATTATTATTTCAACAATATTTTTGGCATCTAGATCGTTAGATTTATAAAAAGTCGACAGACAATTTTTCCGGCTTTCCAATAAACTTTAATTTGGAGCTAGCAGATGTAGCGCAGAGTGAACGCATCGTCATTTTCTTTTTTTTAATCTAATATAATAGTATAATAATAATAATTACAAAAAATTATAGTTTTCACCAGTGTAAATTATTTTTCAATTGGAAAATATGTAGTTAAAAATGTTGGTCTTTTCGTAAAAGAGCTGGCAGCTCTCGCCTGTCTTACATGCGGAGAGAGCGTCGCTCTGCACAACGAGAAATGGAATAATCAGGAAACGTGTTAAAAATAAAGAAAGCGAAATGTGATAAGCTATAAAGAGGAGTATATACAGAGATGTATCCGATTTCAGTATTTAGAAACTGTTATATCATAAACTCTCGTTAGTCAGTTGAATCTTTTAACTGTATTTAAAAAAAATGTTAGATGCATTTTTCTTTCCCCAATTCTTGATAAAGAATTTTATAATTATTTTAACTTAGAGTATTTTCCAGTGTTTCGTTTCATCATATTTCTACTACATTTTCTGCAACCGTACAAGCTTTTGATTGAGGGGAACTCACGACACGGCTTGCTGCTCCGTCGCAATTTATTCAGCGAACACTCGATTAATTGACCACAAGCTGAAAAGTTCGTTAAATTAATCAACGCTTCAAAACTGTGTGAATATCTAATATTTGGATACTTGACTTGAGATTCTTTTCTGGAAAATACAGTGCTGATAATAACAGAACAACTTTTATACGAAAACAACAGTGCAGTGATAAGAGGTAGAAAAGTGTTTGCTTTTGTTTTGCCAAGGCAATAGCGAAACCAATTTGTGCTTAATTCGCGAAGACCACAAATTTTTGGTGAAGAAAAACAACGACGGCAAGAACTCTTACGTTTTCTTCGAAGTACGTGTGTGCGTGTTTCGTCTTCGCTATTTGTTTTTTTTTTTTTTCTAAAACTTCACACTTGTCAAAAGTAATTACAAAATAAAAATAAAATAATTTGAATAGAAATTTTATACATATAAAGAACTTTTTATGAAAACTGAAAAGCAAGCATTAAAGTTTTAAGAAAAATTTGTTTTTAGTCATTCGCTTGCATTTAAAAATTACATTCAACTGCGTAAAATAAACTACACGCATTACAAAATTCCAATTAGACAAGAATCCTATTTTTGGTTCCAAAGCTGTGAAAAACAAAATTTCACTGAATTGAATTGAATTTGCGATTGTTGTGGAGGTTGGGAAATTTCACAGAATTTAAAACTTACGAAGGAATTTTTTTCTTCAAATTGGTATTTGTGATTATACTGCAATTTTCTGAAGAAAAGAAATATTAAATATTTGCTTCAATAATAAGCAAAGATAAAACTATAATATAAACTATTGAAGAATAAATCTTCTTCAACCGCAGAAAATAAAGGTAGGCAAAGTTGTTTTGATAGTTTACAGTTATATTTTCCATATATTTTATGGATTTTTCTTTGATGTGGCGGCAGCTGGTAGTAGTTTATTGCATAGATTTTTCTCGAATTTACAAAAATTCTACATTGGTCTCTTTGGTTATGAAAAGAATTTTATGCCATCGTGGCTATGAGTTGCCCGATAGACAATGAGCTTGTAAAACAAATTGTTTGTTTTTACTCAGTTTGTGTAAGTTTGTAATATGTATTTATTGTACAATATATTTCTTCGGCATATACTTGCTGATATAATCTATTCTTATCCAAGCACATAACTTATGAAAATATATATGTACTATATGTACATATTTATACCAATCTGTCGAAACGATGTGTGGAACTTTCCAGAAAATATTTTGTAGTCTCTACAACCGCACCACAAAATCGAATTGGAGTAGACGAGCTACAACTTTTGTTATTTGTTGCCGTCGCCGGTTGTTATTGCCGGTACATTCAGCTGTTATGGTGTTCGCTGAGTTGCTGAGGAAGAATATGTATGTAGGAAAACGTTACATATACACTTATGTATGTATGTATGTATTTATGAAATATAAATAAACACAGAAAACGTGTGGAGAAGCCACTGAGTATATGAATGTACATATGCACTTAAATCCATATATCGTCTCTTCATAGGTATATAAATTCATATAAGTAGCTGTTATTAGCAATTAAACACTTTATATCCGAACTAATGTCTGCTTATAAGGGTACATACTTGGTTAGGCATCGACGCAGTGCAATCATTTAATGTGCACATATGTACTCAAATACATATATACAGGTGGATACACGAACTTCATATTATCGACTCTGCAAAGGGTAATTTTATAGGGTTTATAGTTTCCTAAAGAGTGGTCACGTAGGCTAATATAATTACCAAAATCCAATGATAATTAAGGAACAACAACAACACCATCAATAAATATTTGGTTTAAAATATTTGTTTAAATTTAAATAAGATACCATTTATAAGATTCTAAAACAACTCTCATATTTCCAATTGGTTATAGTAGATTCGTACTATAATTTTCGCTTTGTGAACGCTGAAGCTAGTTTGTTGACCGAGTTCCTCCTCCTCCAATTTGTCGTGTGCGCTTAGATTTTAGATTATTTCATGCAAAGGTTGACTGTGACTGCGTGTCAAATGATCCAATCGCTTATTACGATGTTGGTTTCTGGTTGCTTTGGTAGCCCTTGCAATGCTTCTGGCTGATCTTGACTCCAAAATCGACAATTCTGTTCATTTACGCACCCATTAAGCCAAAAATGGGCTACATTGCAGAACACAATTTTGTTTTTGTTATTTATTTTTTAAACTTTCTTAACAGAGCACGCATTTTGTTAATAAAATTCCATAATTTGCAATCGTTATTCGTTTGTAAGACGATTCATGGTTAAATTATAGAGCAAACTGAAGATGTTTGAGAGTGATACAAAGCAAAAAACGTGCGTCCGTTGTTTAAACCAGTGTTGCCAAAGGTATAAAAGCATTATTTAAATGCGAATTATTAACTTTAATCTGCATAAAGTTGCTTTTCGAAAATGTTTCCTATTTTGCTTTACATAAACAATATTAAAATGTGTCTACTTTTATGTTCGATATAAAATAGAAATGTGGAACTTTTTAACGATCGCCTGTTAATTTAAAAATATTTTCAATTTTTTTATTAACATTTTTGTTTTTATAAAAACTATTTTTATATTAAAATATATCTATACACAAATGTACCTGTATATATGACAGCCCGTGATTAAAAAAATTGGGTCACTCACTCAAAAGCAGCTAAATTCCAAAAACAAATTTTGATAACGAAAGAAAAATCAAAGTAAAACATTTGTTTTTCAACAGTTCTTTTATGTAAATAAGCAATACATAGATATGTACCTACTATATGTTCTTATGTATATACATTTGTGCTATTACTGTTGTTTTTATTGTGATTTCTTTTATTTTTATTTCCATCCTCGCGACAGCTTTTCGTTTTCGTTTATTTATTATTATTTTTTTTTGTTTTTGTTTGCTGGCGTGGTCTACGTGATAAAGTTGACGGCGGCGCATGGCTACATTGGAACACACGCCCACCAACAAATTTGATTGTTGATATGAATGTTTATACATTTTTTCGAGTGTTTTTTCTTTGCTTCTTTATCGTCTTCCAAGAAATAGAAAAAATACATACATATTTACTTACATATGCATGTCTATTTATCTATTTATGAGTTCGGAAAAAAGGCATAACAATCACATGTTGGCGCAAAACAAACAAACAGTGCACAAAACAAAATTGAAAAATAAAATAACAAAAAATTAGCATGTGCAACTATTGTGTTAAACGCATGCCACAAATAATACTACTTAAATGTTCCTCTTTGACGGTAAAAAGTCACAACAAAGCCATTTGTAGTTACTTACATATGTACATATATTTGTAAGTATATGTAGCTTAAGTTTAATTAAAAATATATAAAAGAAAACATGAACTGTTGACTATCTAATAGTCAGACGAATGCGTGGATAGATGGCGTCTAGTCTCTGCCGCCTGCCACTCAATTGCCACCCACATTTCGTTCGTTATTGTTGGGTAGAGTAGAAGAAAAATGCGTATGATTTTACTGGCAGCAGTCCATTTGGCGCATAAACGATAAACGGATATACATATGTACATACATAATTTTTGTAAATAAACAAATACATAAATAAAGTGACCACAAATTCGTTTATTAAGACGCACTTTTCAGTGTTTCTTTTTCCTTAGAAATGTGTATTCTAAAACTAAAGTAGATTTTTAATTAAGATTCATAGTAGATACATACATACATATGTATGCACATATGTAGGTATGCAAAAGTTTACAAAAATAAAGTTAGTATATTTGAAATTCTCTACATTTTAAATTTTATGCATGAGAAATGCTTGTTTATCTTAACAACCCCGCATATACGTATGTATGTAGTACATATGTATGTATCACATCTTCCTACACAAATATATATTACATCTGTCTAAAATGTCCGGCGTCTATTTACATATGTAAATACATACATACATATATATGTATGTATGTTAATATTACTGCGACGCAATTTTATTTTCAAACAAAATTGGATTTTCCTGAGCTTATCCTGTCACACTGTATACCTACTCGTGTTGGTGTTCCTGCCAATTGCTGGAATATTGGCGAAAATACATTTTAAGCACATAACTAACACGCCCATGTGCCTTATATACTACTACAAGTACTACTATTGTTATATATAAATTTTCAAGGTCATGCGCGGTGTTGTTCATATACTTTATATACATATAAATATATGTATGTATATATATTGTATATGAATTCCACATTAACTTGAAAGTCCTTTTTCTATTTATAACAGAAAATACTCCCTTAAGTGGTTCCTGTTGGCGCACTGCAAGGCGCTTCAAATACCTTGGCATTTACAGTAGCACACAAAAGTAATCGGTACTATTTTATTGTACGAACAACTAATGTACAAAAATCTTTTGTATTTCGATGTTGCAGCTTTTATCAGCAAATAAAATTCTAATTGGTTTGTTGATTCCAGAATATGTGTTTAAAATTAAAAGGGTTTTTAATCAGGCTATCAAGAAAATTTAATAAAAGTAAAATGATGATACCAAACTCTATAAAAAAAACAGGCGCTTCATAGAGTGGTGTTTGTCAAGGCGGTATTTTACTTTAGGACCAAAAAAATTTTTTTTCAAACAATTTATTATTTTTTTTTATAATTTTTTTTTAATTTTTTTTATATTTTTTGATATATTTTTATATTTTTTTATATTTTTTTTATATTTTTTTTTTTGGAATTGAAGAGAATAATTTCGGTAACGACCCCTGTAAGTCAGGGGTTCAGGAATTTACCCCCGGTAAGGCATACCTTTCGCAAGAGGCGACTAAAATCCAATAGTTCCCGGGACAGTCGTGTCTTTATACCGGAACGACCCGTTATTTTATCCGGCCAAAGACTGTCACTCCCGCACCATTCCCCAAAAAGTACTTTGGGGAATATTTTTGCGTTTACAACAACAACCACATTGCGGTAAACGAAATTTTCAGACAATAATGTACTGTACTTCAATGTGCTAAAAAAAAATTTATCAAAAAATATTTTAATTTACTACCTATGTTGTAATGAGTTTTCTGAAGCGGCCGCAGTCTGAACTCGTGAAACGGTGCTGATGATGATTTAGGTCGTGCTATGCATCTGAAACAGGCGAATCATTTTTTTTATTTTTTATTTTTTTTGCGTGTTTCTTCTATATGAACTAAAAACAAAACTACTTATTTCTTCGATCCGAGATATGTACATATACATATCTTTTCTCTATCACCGGCACAGTTTTCTAAAACTCTTGTATTACGAAAACTCGAGAAAACGCGCTTGAACACTCGATCCTGCTCCACGCACAGCCACTAAAACTGCTCTAGCTTTTCAAATACATCGAATTGGCCACTGACATTTGAAAGACATTTTTTTTTGGTTAGTTTTAGAATAGATTTAAGAAAAAAAAATAATTTTTTTGAAGACTGTAAAGTAGTCTACTTAATATGGTGTAATGCAAAAATTCACGAGGAGTTTTGACTTACCGGATTCCACCAGTAAAATTTTCTGTAAACCCTTCCGTTTCGGGTAACACCCTTAAACAATTCAAATATCTGCTATAGTTTTATTAAAACACATCTAAAGCTTTACGCGTTGCTTTTGGAGCGCTTGTCAGTCCTTTGATAATTGTTGAATAAACCGAAAGTACTTGTCGCATTTCATTCAACTTTTAAGAGAATATTTTTAAGAAAATCCAAAAAGAAGTAAAAACAAACTTTTTGTTAATTCTCCAACATCTAAACCCTTTATAAATCCATTTTAATATACACACATATCTGTATATTTTGTAACTTTTCAGTCGTAATTCATTTTTATTATGCAACTTTTACTT